TTAATCAACAAAAATGGACAAGCATCTTCTACAGCAGCCATCTAAATGAATTTATTGGCCATTGAAAATGAATTAACTAGCTCCATTCTTGTGCATAGGACATTGTATTTAAGAAAAATAGCCTTTTGCAGGTTTTCTTTTTGGCAAGTAACTGATGTTCCTTTGGACGTTCAATAAAGGCTGTGCCTGCTACACTAAAAGCTGACAAACTTGAGATGAATGCAAGTACACCAGCTGGTATAGAGGGACACTTAAGCTTCACCGTCTTTATCACAATGTGTACATTCTTCCTTTACAGAAAATAAGCATTATGCTCATGCTAAACTTATATGCCCTCAGTCCACTGTTTCTCTTATGTGAATACAGATAAAGTGGGCCTCTTTCAAATAATTTGTCATTGGAATTCTTTTAAAAATATATTAAAAATGGCTACATTAATGGCAGAGTAGGGCAAGTTGTCACATGGGGAATTATATGACACAGTGCTTTTTTAATGCTTTTTTTATGTTGGATTCTAATAATTTAATATATTAATTGAACTTATTCCCATAATACTTTACTAAAGCTGTTGGTCGAACACTGTAAAATTACATTAGCATAGATTTTTTGTGTATGTTGAAAATACCTAAACCAGATCCAGCCATATACTTGTTCTCCCAGTACTTTTCGGAGAGACCAGCTAAAATCCGCTAAGACCAGAAAACCAGCCTATAGTGGTTTCATATTTATGTTTGTGTATGTGTTTTATAATTTTGCCATTTAAATGTAGTAGAAAAGGTTCAAATATATGTAAACAGATATAAACAGTTACAACTAGCCTCATCTCCCCATTTCCAAAGTAGAATCTGGAATTTCATACAGGTATTTTTTTATGTAACCAACGTGACTACAAAACATCTGCTAAAACAATCAAAAAGCAGAATTACATATATAATAATTTCCAGCCTAAGACATGTTTTCGTCCCTTCAGACGTCTTTCTGTCTTGTTTTGCACATAAACTCGCCAGCTTTACGCAATGAGTCATCGTCGTCGTCCTTATTACGCATGGACAAAAATCAATGCGTAAGGTGGAGCAAAAGAGGACCGAAGTGAGTGGTGTTTCAGTGGAGCAGATATAAGGTGATTGGACCGCGGGAAGCGAGTGTTCACTTGAATCTCAGTGCGGAGGACGCGTTCAGTCTTGGCTGTCTGTGACCATGGAGAGCTCCAAACTCTGGACCACAGCGATGGCATGCGCTGTGCTGGTGTCTTGCATTCAGGGTGCCGAAATGGACTTTGACAACGAATCCGACTTAGAAACAAGAGCTCTGAGAGAGTTTTACCCAAAGGACCCGAATCTGACCAACGAGAAGCAGCTCGTAAGTATTGCGTAATTCTCGACGCATAGAAAACAAATGATGTTCCCTTCTTTAAAAAGATTTTAATGATACTTACTTAGTTGACGTGAACATGTTCACAGCTCGGGGCTTTACATGACGTTCTGGAGAAACTGCAGAGTAAACGCATCTCACTTTGGGAAAAGAAGTTTGGGCGCGTTCCTACAGTGAGTAGCACAAAACAGATTTGTTTGTTTCATTTAAAATAGTGTAAAATACTGAAATGCCTAGATTGAAATCACACATTTACTATTTACATTTACTATTAACAAAACGCTGACAGTGTGTTATTTAACATTTACACTTTGCTTTCACATCAGTGCGACGTCGGGGAGCAATGCGCCATCAGGAAAGGATCAAGAATCGGCAAAATGTGTGACTGTCCGCGTGGAGCGTTTTGCAATTACTTTTTGCTGAAATGTTTGTAAATGGATTGTGAATTGGAAATATACACATGATATTACAGATATTTATACATTACGTGATTTCTATTTTTATGATTACGAAGTGCTATGAGAAGAACAGATGAATTTGAAAGATTGTTTCATTATTTGCTGCTCCTGACGTGTAATTAAATTTGAATAAATTGTGTGGACTTTTGTTTTCTAAGGCAGTCTGTGTGTTTCCTCTAATTAGTATAATACATGTTTTGTTGTGGCATATAAATATTCTGCACTGTAAAAGAAAAAAGAAAAAAAAGCTACTTACCAAAATAAAGAAATGCTTAAGTTTAATTGCTGCCTTCAAGTAATATCAAAGTGGCAACCTGCAGTAAAAAAATAATAAAAATGCACTGTTTTTCAACCACTTTGAAGATTAAGAAAACTGAATTCAAATCAAGCAACTGAACATTCAAAATGAAATAGAAATTACTAAACATATTGTAAAATGTTAAAAGATTCTAAGATGCATCATTTAAACTGATGAAAACAAGTTAAATTATGATAAACATACTGCTATTGCTGGTTGTAACACAAATACATAATTAGGAGTATGCATACTAGACGTTTACACTGTTCACTTAGATATTACAAGATATCAAGACGAAAACAATGTCAAATTTGTGTATTTAATCTATTCTTTCTGAAATTACTTTAGCATTCCAAGTCTTCTTTTCAATGTAGTAACTGGAATGAGTTGTGAGACAAATTTAAGAGAATTAAAAGAAACAGAAAATCATTCCCTGAAACTCCATCATTACAACAATATAATGAAGGAGCTTCAGGGAATGTGTTTTTATAAAAGTTTTCAGTTCCTTGTAATTCTCTTCAATGTGTCTGACATCTCATTCCATCCGCATGCATGATGTCAACAGCTTAGATGTAACAAGGGTTCAAAATATGTGACATTCCTGTATTACAAAAACAAACTCTGACTCATAGGAGAGAATGAGGAAAAGTGCAGTTAGTACAGGCTGTCCCATGATTAGCTCTGCCTGAGAGGATGAGTCCAGCTTGCAGCCAAGCAGAAAAACACACCCAAATTCTCTCAAATGTCAATCAAAGCCGGCACTCAAATGGGCGCTTTCACTCCTTGTTAGATTCATTTACAATTGTTAACTTTTTAAATTGCCAGCAGGAGTGGAGAACGATGGGAAATACGTGTCTGCTGTTGCTTGCTGGCACTGAGAAACAAGTCGAACACATCTCTGCATAGAAGTTAATGGGTCCAATTTTATATTACACCAATCAAACCATTGTGCACCTTCAAGCCATTTAATATTCAGATATCATAAGGATTTTTCATTGCATGAAATTGCATTCAGGCTGCTGGAGAGGAAACAAATGGATTATGTCATGTAAATATGAGCAAAGCAGTGTGTGATGTGTAATAAAACTCATTTGCTTTGGGTAATAATTAGAAAAGCTCTTTTACAAGAGATTTAAAAATGACCACTGACTGAGGTTATGAAAACACTTTTATACTCAAATGACTTTGATTGATAGTGAATATATCCAAATAATTGTTACACAAGACAAATTTAGGCTGATTCTAATGATATGCCTTTAGTATTTACAAAAATATCACGTTGCGAGTGAACATTTTCATGCCCTATAAATGGGAATTGATCGAACAAAGCAAACAAATAAGTAAATAATATGTGACCCTGGAACACAAAAGCAGTCTTAAGTCGCTGGGCAGTCATTCTTGAGACATGGGACAAAACAGGTCCAGCAAGGGTAACTTTTATTAGGTTTAAAAATAAAAATAAGACAACTTTAAAGGCGATTTTCTCAGTATTTTTTTTGCACCCTCAGATTCCAGATATTCAAATAGCTGTATCTCTGCCAAATATTGTCCTATCCTAACAAATCATACATCAATGGAAAGCTTATTTATTCAGCTTTCAGATGATGTATAAATCTCAATTTCGAAAAATTGACCCTTATGACTGGTTTTGTGGTCCAGGGTCACATATATGTATTGTAACTGGAAGCAGATTACATCCTGCAAAAGAACAAATGAAGTGTTTTAACAAAAATAATTTTCAATTAGCTGCAAATGGCAATCATTAGGGACCAACCATCTTTTCAAATATAATGTGGCTTTGATATAATTTCTACAGCAAAGTCCATCTTGAATGTTTACTTATAGTTAGTGTTTGATAAAAACAGTTTACAGCAATATATACTGTTGTCAAAATAGACAACTGACTTGAAAGGAAATCACTCCCACTTACCGTTAGACAGAAAGAGAAGGGAAAAAAAGAAAGAAACCTCTATAAAAACTGTGATTAAAACATATATGTGGACACTTGTTAAACATTTACATTTTCATATGCAGCTAAAAATGTGTAAATCCATAAGTAATTATCTTAAGGTCAATTCGTGGAAATAGGCAATTCCAAACTGGCTTATGTCTTCGCAACATTTTAATAAATGAAATTTCTTTAAATTTTTTTTTTTGGTCATGAGGTTCTTGGGATGATGTGTGCCAACTTTGATGTCAAACCAAGAGCCTTGGAAGAGTTTTGGCATTTAAACTGGTGAACAATTCACCTAGGGGTAAACTGTAAATCTAGAATCCTTTGACTTATAGTTACAGAGTTATAAACTAAAAAAAGCAATTGTAGTTATTACAATGCCATATAGTGGCCAATTTGGAACCACCTCATCAAGTGTGAGATTTCTAGAGATTCAAGATTTTTTATTTTTTTAAATGTCACTACCAAACAAAACAAAAATGTACGGATAGACAGAACGTCACATCTTTTTATGAAATCAGAATATAACCCAAGTTAAACCTCAAGTATAGCTAGCTTTTTCTAACATTAGACTGAGATACATTTAACCAGACACTTACACTTCATTGATATTTCTGCTTAAACATTTAACACTGGTTTGAAACAGATGGCAGTTTTTATTTGACATTCAAAGAATATGCCTAAAGGTCCACAACAACAGCAACAAACATTACCAAACCTCGTCACAGAAAGTGGTTATGACATGTATTAATAAATAAAAACTATCCAATATATGTGAAGCAAGGGAAAAATGTAAAAAAAACAGTGTCATGAAATTTAGATATTAAGCTAACAATGAGATCTTATTTCTTTACTGTATTATTATTTACTGTAATGTTTTCTTTTAACAATCAAAACGGAGTATAACATTACAATTTTGTTACCATTCATGTATTAATCCAAGATTTATTTTTGTGAATATTATCTGTTTGAATATTGGACATAGACAATCACAACCACAGATTCAACTGCAGACTGTATATTCTCAATGTAATGTTTTAGAAATAAACAAAACAAAAGTTATCGACAACTGACATTTATCAATTAAAATAGCAGCTTTTGAAACCACCAACATTTTTCAAGGTCAGACTGAACTATAACCACAGTTATGGATGTTCAACAACCATGAAGATCTAAACCATCTAAACTTCAAAACCACAAACAAGACTCTAAAGCAACAGCGGAAGCATTTTACAAGGCGCAAAACTCATTTTTTGATCACTTTTACAAACTACTATATTCCTACCAGTCCTTCTCCACAGTGCTATTCTGAATGAGAATGACTGAAACAAAGGAAACTCTTTGGAAACGATTTCACAGTTGCCACAGTGAATCTACAACCTTATGTCATTGTGGCAGAATGAAGCTCTACTGGTCTTCCTGAAAGGGGTAGCTGAGAGCCGGAGGGAAAACCTGGCTCCTGGACTGTTCATCCAGCAGAACCAAATCGTCAACGTCTTGTCCTTGGAACCTGCGGCGGCAAACTTTCACTGTCACTTTTTGCCCTTGAAACACTTTGAGTGCTTCCTTGGAGGCCATAGCCCTGGCGGCACACTCATCACGCCCGTAGCCCGTACCCATGTAGACGGTGCAGCAGCGCAGTTCACACACCTGGCCTTCTTTCTGGGTACGTCCCATAGGCAGGTCAGGAATGTCTTTGAGTGGAACAAACACACAAGCAAGACTGGCCTTACATGACTCCACACAACTGCGCAAGATTTCAAAGTGTTCCATATTGGGGCCAAAGCCACCAGCAGACACAAGCTTCCAAGCAACTGCCTTATAGAGTCGATTAAAAAAGGGCTGGTGTTCTGCAGGAGCCCCCGGCGGAGGGCCCGATTTGAGAGTACTGGCAGCCGAATGCCCAACAGTCTTCGCATGAGCTTTAACATCTGTATCATTGGGTTTAGCCTTCTTACTCTGGGAATCATCAGCATCCACTGCTACAAAATACAGTTAAAGAGCTCAGTGTAAATCAGTGATCAAACATTCTGTATTACTATACTGTTCAGAAATTTGGGGTCAGTAAGATTTTATTTTTTGAAAGAAATTAATGCTTTTATTCAGTAAGGACACATTAAATTGATCAAAAGTGACGTTCAGTTAATTACAAAATATTTATATTTTAAATAAATGGTATTCCTTTGAACTTTCTATTTGAATCCTGAAAAAATACTACTTTTTCCACAAAAATATTAAGCAGCACACCGGTTTTAAACATTGATAATAATAAGAAAATGGAAATGGAAACGGAATAATATTTCACAATATTCTGTTTTTAGTGTATTTTTTAGGTAGGTAGGTAGGTAGCTTTTTTATTGTCATTCAACTGTACATACAGAATGCACATATGAACGAAATTCCGTTCCACTGGCTCATAAATACTGTACTAAAGTAAACACTTACCATAAAATCAGTATAAAAATATATATATAATAAAAATTGCAACAGTGTTCATTTAAAAGAATATAGCACTAAAAGGAATGACAGCAGCATATAAATATTAAATAATGCACATAGTAATTAGCAGCATCTAAAACAACATTATTGCACTTATTAAACGCACGCACGCGATGCCTCCGAGGGGCAATCGGCGTGCACTGAGAGCGTTTTTTTTCCAAGGGAAAAGCTCCGCTCTCATTTGTCTCTTTTTTCGAGGAAAGAGGGGCAGCCATCTGAGCTCAGATAAAAGTGTATTTTTTATCAAACTTTCACTTTACTTTTGATTAAGATACTTCTTTTAAAAGCATTGTAAAAAAAACTTGCTAACCCCAAACCTTTGAACGGTTGTGTACACTAATTCAATGACACACATTAAAGATAGCCCATTTACCTGAAACTGCAGGTCTTTTTGTTTTTCCCATGATTTCATCTCTAGTCTTTCGCACAGGGGCTTCAATCACAGTGATTCCTTCTGCCATCTCATTTACCTTGTCCATTACAGGCTGTGGATATCTGCATTAGGGCCAATAACAAATAAGAGTGTTCTCAGTAAAAAAAAGAAAAATCATTTGAAAAACCAAATCTAAAACGTATCTGTCTAACGATCAATCAAGTCTATCAATCAAGTCTAAAATGTATCAGAAGTGTGGTGTGACTATTCTTTGGTGGACGTTTTTGAAATATTAATATACTAATAACAAATAAAACTGTTTCATCTTTTTAACCTTTATTATCAGGACAGTTCTTTGAGCTTTATACTTTATATTTATGTCATTTTATGTATGCATTGTCCACTACCTTTCAAAAATTTGGGGTCAGAAATATTTTTTAAATATTTTTTAAAGAAGTCACCAAGGCTACATTTATTTGATCACAGAAATATTGTGAAATATTATTACAATTTAAAATAATTTACATTTTAATGTATTTTAAAATGTAATTTAATCCTGTGATGATAAAGCAGTTTTTTTCAGCAGCCATTACTTCTTATTTTTACTATCAATGTTAAAAACGGTTGTGCTGTTTAATATTTTTTTGTGAAAACTGATTCTTTGAAGAATATATTCAAAAATAATTTAAATGAAATAGAAATATTTTGTAACATTATAAATCTCTTTATTGTCACTTTTGATCAATATAATGTTAATGTGTAAAAAAAACAAAACAAAAAAAAGCATTCTGACCCCAGACTTTCAAACGGTAGCGTTCAAAATAAAAAAGATTCAGCAAAAAATTAGATACATGACATTCACCCGCAAACAACTGAAATAAGAAATGGATTTTGTGTTCATGAAAAAAAAATGAACCAAATCCAAAAATAACAATTACCGACAGCCCAAAAACACGTGGTTGGCCCAAACCATGGACAGAGACAGAAGTCTGTCTAAACTAGGACTTGGGATCCCAGGTTGGATGGAAGGAAAGTCCTCCATATTGCGCAGGACAAACTCTCTTCTGGCATGCCACTGCTTATTTGTCTCACAGGGTCCTCTTAAAGATTCCACCCAGTTTTCCAGGTGTGGATTCTGACTGAGGAACTCAGAGACGATATCTCCTCCTCTCCCCGCCGCCATCACTGAAAATCAAAAGTCAGTTTGAGAAGTTCATAAAAAAAGGTGTCCCACACAGCAGGTTCATGGCCTAAGGACTGAAATTGTGGGCATGTTTCCCAGCGACAAGACAAACAAACAAACAGTTCAACTGCAGTTGGCAAGGTATTTAATGCTGCAGACTGGACAGTTTAAACATAAACATAAGTATGTATTTTAATTTTACATTAGAGTTCTCAGTGTTGAGTTAATTGTAGTTTTAGGCTTGTTTTCATTCGAATTCGCCCACATTATTATTATATGTTATCACGTTATAATTACCAAAGCATTTTAGTAATGTATTAAAATGACCACTGTGCTCGCCCTGCAGGCATTAACATAACTCTAATCTCAACTTCAATGAGTCGAATCAGTCGCAAGCAACACATGTAATATAAATGAAACAGCAAAATACACCAAAAACTCTACAGCAGATCGTGAAGAGAAAGCAAGCTCTGTTCACCTCTAAATATATTCTCTGCAGATGAGTCCTCATCAGCCGTATGTGGTAAAAATATTATGTTAAATATAAGTGCAGTGGAGCTGGCTGAGCACTTCCCCTGTCGCGCTCGGGATCTGCGTCATCAACATGCGACCGGGGTTTTGGCGGTGCGAAAATATTAATGATGAGAACTTACTATCTGTATTTTTATTATCGTGTGTTTCATTTGAATACGCTATCTAACTAACAGCACCGGCAAAATGATCCATGAGCTGCTGCTGGCTCTGAGTGGATATCCTGGGACAATATTCACCTGGAATAAACGGAATGGATTGCAGGTAACGTTATTTTATGCTGTACTCTGTCAGTGATGCATCTAATAATGTGTGTGTGTATACCTGTATTATACTGGATAAACTACATTATGGATGTTCGGAAGTAGGACGATAATGTTTAGCAAACATGCAGTATTTTTAATTTATAAGTATATATATATATATATATATATATACACACACACACACACACACACACATACACATATATATATTTAAAAAAAAATCCCTACTAGTGATAGTTACATGGTACTCCAGAGAATACCATGATATAACAATACATAAAAGGTTGGCTATTATCATGACATGGCATTCTGAAGTACTTAAAAAAAATACCATGTCCATGAAAATACTATTGTGGTCCTATGTTAGTGGTATGCTAGTATAAAATGAGAATCAAGTGTTTCTGATCACAGGTGTCCCAGGACCTTCCGTTCCTCCACCCCAGTGAAACCAGTGTCCTCAATCGGCTCTGTAAAATGGGCACTGACTATGTGCGCTTCGCAGAATTCATAGAGCAGCACACGGGTCATGTCCACCAACAGGTAATCTGAGCGTATTCTGCATGCATTGTGTGTCAAGGACATGATCAGATCAAGGCTGAAGTGTGATTTCATCTACATGTCTCACAGGAGCATTACTCCAGCCAGCCGAGTCAGTCTGGGCTTCATGGCATTTACCTGCGGGCATTCTGCACTGGGCTCAACTCCATGCTGCAACCCTATCGGCATGCATTACTGGACCTCGAGAAAGAGGTGTTAGACTTAGAGTTTACATTTGAAGTCCTTTTATGGCTGTATTTGCACAGATAATAATAAAATTAAACATTGTTAATACTATTAAACTTTACATGTTCCCTACAGTTTTTAGGTGATCCACACCTCTCCATTTCTCACGTAAACTACATGCTGGAACAGGTAAATCAAACTTTCTAGATATTTTACCTATACATCCAATCCACTGAAATAAGCTAAATGACCTAATTGATCTATTTACACTATTGTTCATAAGTTTGGGATCAGAAAGATTGATTATTTTTTGAAAGAAATTAATACTTTTATTCAGCAAGAATCCATTAAATTGATCAAAAGTGACAGAAAATACATTTATAATGTTACATAAGATTTCTTTAAAAAAAAAAAATGGTTTCCAAAATACTATAAAGCAGCACAATTGTTTTCAACATTGATAATAATAAGAAAGTTTCTTGAGTGCCAAATCAGCATATCAGAATTATTTCTAATTTAGAATGATTTTCTAATGACTTCACTGAAGACTGGAGTAATGACTGCTGAAAATTTAGCTTTGCCATCACAGGGAAAAAAAATCATAAAAAAAAAATATTAAAATAGAAAACAGTTATTTTAAATTGTAATAATATTTCACAATATTATGTTTTTACTGTATATTATATCAAATAAGTGCAGCCTTGGTGAGCATAAAATACTTCTTTTAAAAGAATCAAAACCAACCTTTTGAACAGTAGTGTGTATATAGTTGTTTAAATTATTTTAAAAATATTAGTTTAAATTATATCAAACTAAGTCCCAGATTTTTCATATGAACACAAGTTTTCAACCCCACTGTATATGACTAACTTGCGATTTCTTCTGTTGTTTAGTTTCAGCTTCTCTTCCCCTCTGTGATGGTTGTTGTGGAGACCATCAAGTCTCAGAAGGTTGGTAGCTTGACGGGAGCCACCGCTTTGCGGTAAATGATTAGAAGAGTGCATGGTTGAAAATAATAACCTTTCTGAAACTTTCTTGTTTCAACAGATTCATGGCTGCCAGATCCTAGAGACTGTGTACAAGCACAGCTGTGGAGGACTGCCTCCTGTCAGGATGGCCTTAGAGAAGTGAGCTCACAAAAACCCAACTAAAAACCCCTAATGCACGTGGCGGTGGAATGTAAGACACAGAATTCTATTTTTACTGCTCTAATGGTAGTGTCTGTTTTGCAGGATTCTTGCAGTGTGCCATGGCGTGATGTATAAGCAGCTGGCTGCGTGGATGCTGCACGGGTTGCTGCTGGATCAGAGTGAGGAGTTCTTTGTCAAGCAGGGCCCCAGCGCAGGCGGAGCCACAGCTGCACAGGAGGAAGAGGAGGAGGACCTGGGTATCGGAGGGCTGAGTGGAAAACAGCTCCGTGAGCTGCAGGATTTGGTGAGCAACTAAATAAGTTAGAGCGGGGTGATTTGAGCCTGTGGGGAAGTTAAGCCACCCCTTGTTTGTAGGCAACCTTAAACAAAATTGGGTTATCCATTTTATTCACCTGGAGCCTAACCTAGCATCTTGAGCAACAGGTGGGGAAACTCCCTGCATGAACGGCCAGTCCATCACAAGGCTCACACAGAGATTTTAGGAAGTCATTTTTATTGAATTTCCCTTGCATGAAGTGAAAATGTTCGGCGTAATCATTGGTAAATTTTAATTCCAGGTGGCTCAACTTACCCTCTCCCAAGGCTCAATTTACCCATCACTGGGGAAAAGTTGAGCCAAGAGACCACTTTTTTTTTTTTGAAAGCAGTTTATTTTAGATCCAAAGTGATTATTCCCAAGGATGCACCACATCCTGAAATTTATGTAGATATTTAAGTTGGACCCATTACAGTCATGTGCTCGCTTTAAACACAGCGTAAGTAAAAACTGGCTCAACTCACCCTGCTCTCCCCTATATATAAAATTCACTTTACACTTTTATGAAGTTTCCAAAAAATAAATTGGTCCCTTATAGAAAACTTACAATTTTTTGAAGAAAATATAAAATATTACTCATTAAAAAAATTTATTTTTAGAAAAATGATCAAATTACATTGCTAAGATAAAATCATTATAATAGAAGTTTTGCCAGTTATTTTTGGAGGCCTTATAAAAGTGTAAAGTGGATTTATTTCATATATTTTTAGGCCTTGAAAACTAAAAAAAATCTGCAATATTTTGCATCCAGAAAAAGTGTGTTGATGAATTTATGAAGCTCTGTTTCTGCCGTTCTGAAAGCACCACCTGCTGGCAGAAAATGAATTTGAATATTCTTTATTTTTTAATCCTGCTCAAACACACATACCATGTAGTTTTCAAATAAGCCTGAAGGAATTAGTTGGATCAGGTGCATTTAATTAGGGTTGAATCTAAACTCTGCAGGGCTCCGGCCCTCCAGGAGCTGAGTTTGACACCCCTGATTTAGACCAATGTGAAAATCAACCCATGTTTTTACGCTGCAAACACACAGAACTGTAAATGTGAACTGGTGGATTGATAAGAAGATAATGCATTATAAAAATCTAAACAAGTAAGACGCACAGAGTTGTAAATGTGAACAGTTAAGACAGTAAAATATATTTAATTAATATAATAATCGATTGATGATAATAATAGTTTAAATTAATATAATAATTCATTCTTTTGACTCATCCATTTTCTTAAAAATGGTTATACGGCTGAAATGTGAAGTTTATCATATTATGAAACTTTTAGTTTTGTGAAAACCTGTAAATCATGCTTTTTACAGTCATATGTTAAAATAGACATTGCTCTACCTCGCTCATATGGTATTAATTTTATTTGTGCAGGTCTTAAAAAAGGTCTTAAAAAGTCTTAAATTTGAGCTTAAAAAATCCTGCAGATACCCTGTTTGTAGAGGAGGGTCAAAATTACATTTTCCCTCTGAAATTCAGAGGCAAATTACAGGGGGGTGAAAATGACTTCAGAAAGCTGGCAACATCATTATGTTATTTTTACACAGAGATTGGTAGGTCTATTAGTAAAATCTGTTGACTTTAGCAATCTTTGTTGCATTTTGTGCCAACAGTGACCATTCAAAAATGGGGAAAAAGCACCTTTCAATTTTTTTTTCTCCAAAGTTTACATGCCTGTAACTCAAGAAGTATTAAAGGTATCTTAATGCCCTTTTATATTTTGGGTCTTAACAAACGTTCCTTTTGGCATCTTCATTTTTAAGGCCCTATATGGTTCAGTTCCAAAGATATTGGAATTTCATTATGGCTCCAGAAGCATATTGCTAAATTGTACACATTTTCAGTGGTCAAAAACTAAATGTGAGTTACTTTGCGTACAGATGATTCTTCTTTTCTTTTAAAGAGGAACAAATAGAAACTAGAAATGTATCTTGTTTCTTTCCGTCAAAACAGCTGTATTGAACACACCTATCTGAGTGCCATAAAGATTCTTTTTCCAAAATTTGCGTGTCTGGAACTTAAGAAGTATTAAAGATATTGCAATATGATTTTAGATTCTAGCTCTTAATTAACTTTTCTTTTGGAATCTTCATTTTCAAGGCCCTACATCGTTCAGTCCCAGAGATATGGGGAGGCCAATGCGGCTCCATGTTCAGATTGTTGAAAAACACGTTTTCAGTGGTCGAAAACCAAATGTTGGTCACTTTGTATACAGCTATCTGTTGACTTTAGCAATCTTTGTTGCATTTTGTGCCAACAGTGACCATTCAAAAATGGGGAAAAAGCACCTTTCAATTTTTTTTTCTCCAAAGTTTACATGCTTGTAACTCAAGAAGTATTAAAGGTATCTTAATGCCCTTTTATATTTTGGGTCTTAACAAACGTTCCTTTTGGCATCTTCATTTTTAAGGCCTGTAACTCAAGAAGTATTAAAGGTATCTTAATGCCCTTTTATATTTTGGGTCTTAACAAACTTTCCTTTTGGCATCTTCATTTTTAAGGCCCTATATGGTTCAGTTCCAAAGATATTGGAATTTCATTATGGCTCCAGAAGCATATTGC